AATCAAAGAGACTTTATTGAGAACGTCGATGTCTTTACTCCATGATTTTTAGGGAACAAAAAGAACAATAAGCCTGACACAAAAGGGGTTTCGGTCCAATTTTAGGTGGGCCTTTTAGACGCCGAGCAGAAACTCATCATTGATTTAAGGCCTTGATAGGTGAAATACCCAGTTTAAATTTCAATGCTAGGCATAATGAGTAATAAGGACCTCAAAAACATTCTCTTTTTCGTCCTATCCTATGAAACTTTAAGGTGTTATGAAAGTTTTATATTTGATTCTTTAAGCAGAAGCGGGGCCGGTTGGAGATTCCATTTAACTTTAGGTTAATTTAAAGCGCAAGCCCAGACCTACGTCAGGATAACCTTTCTTTGAAACACTTTGTAGTGCTCTCGGATCGGAATCCATAAATCAGAGCCCATGGAGCCATCTTCTTAATCTTTCTGCCCAAGAGAAATTATGGTGACTAACTGAATTAAATTTATATCATTAATGAACGAGCCCCAATGCAAAAAAAATGCATGTTGGGTCTTTGAAAATAAGTTCGAAAATCATTTTTGATAATAATCAGTTTGATCTGTTTTACCGCGAAGGTCTACGGTTGAAGTCTGTATAGCCCTAAAAAAAAAATAGAATTAAATATAGAATTCTATATTATATATTATATATATTAATATTTAATATTAAAACATATTTAATTTAATATTTTCATTTTAATAAAATATAATTTTTTAATATTTATATTTTCATCTTATTATTTTATATTAATTTTAAATATTAATTATATATTTTTATATTAATTTTTATAAAATTAATTTATATATATATATATAAATAATTAATAAATAATTAATATATAAATATAGAATTTAATATAATAAGAATTTATATATAATAAAGAATATAATTATATTATAATAATAATTATAATTAATATATAATTAAATATAAATTAAAATAATTATAATAAAATAATAGAGAATAATAGAATTATATGAATATTAAATATGGAAATAGAATAATTTATGTTAAAATATTTAATGTTAAATATGTAATGTAAAATAAATAAAAAAATATAGAAATAAAATAAAAATTCAATTTCTTTCCAATTTAAAATATTTCCATTTTGATTCCAATTTTGATTTTGAATTATCTGTTTTTTTTTTTTAATTTTCTTAATAAAATGAAAATTTCTAATAGAATTGTGAAAAATAGATTTTCAAAATTCTAAAAACAACTAAACAAAAATGAAAAATTTTCTATTTTGAATTCCCCCTTTTTGTAGAAAGAACCGAAGTGAAGGTGAAATGAAAAAGCGAAAAGGAGAGTCTTATTTCTATAAATATAGAAATAATATAAATAAGAGCATATCTTTATTTATACCTCTAATCAAATAGTATATATTCAAGTTTATGATATGTCAATATCGAAAAAAAAATTTGAAAATCGAAAGTAAACGTAATGGAAAAATTTATAGTCGATGAATCTTGTAACGAGACATGTACCAAAGAAACAAAGAAACTAGGTGTTTTGAATCAAAATAAATTGGTTGTTTTTGACTAACCGTTAGTGGATGAGTTAGGAATTAATTCGCAATTCGATGTCTCGACTAATCTAGTATATTTTTTCCACATTCATAGGAGCGCACCTATGTTTCCTGTATTTACGAATATGAATATATTCTGCTGGCCATTTCTAGATAAAGTATCAAGTGCTATTCCTATTTTAGCATTTGCTAATTTCCGGTAGTCTTTTATCTCCCGATTAGCAAAGGGCGGAGAAACTTTCTAGTTATGAAATGCGGGTATAGGAACAATGGGGCGATGCTTGGTTACAATTTCCGAATCCGTTACTAATATGTTTGCTCTAGTTTTTGTTGTTTTTGATGTTGGAAACCGTTTTTTCTTTATCCAATGGGCAATGAGTTTCGATATATTGGGGTTATCCGCATTTATAGAAGCTTTATTTTCGTAAGCTTATCCTAAATTGTTTGGTTTAGTTTAATGCGTTGGAGAAAAAGGAGGTTAGCAAATGGTGCTTTAGTTTTTGAATATTCCCAAAAAACAATGAAAAAAAAAAAAATAACATGAGACAATTATGAATTTCCATTGAGTTTCCTTTACTTGATCAACAACTAAAAATTTCAGTTATTTCAACTACATCAAATGAATCTTTCAAATTGGTCAACAGACTCTCCAGTTTTATGGCCACTTCTCTATGGTACCAGTTGTTGCTTCATTGGAATTTGCTTCGTTTAATAGGCTCACCGAATTCGACTTTACGTGTTGGACTAGTACAAAGATCTAGTCCTAGACAAGGCGCATCCTGATTTTAAACAGCCGGCACAGTAACCAATGAAAAATGGCTCCGCTCTTTAGTGGAGATTATATGAACATGCCAGAAACCAAAATATGTTATTGCTATGGGGGGCATGTACAATTACAGGGGGGATGTTCCAGTACCGAATTCTTATAGTACTGTTCGGGGAGTCGATTAACTAATTCCTGTAGTGTCTATTTGCCAAGGCTGTCCCACCTAAACCGGAGGCGTTTATAGACTGCTTAAAACCAAAACTTCGTACAAAAAATATTCGAGAAATTTATGAAGAATCGAATTAAAGGTCTCAACCGGGGAAATCGGTGTTTTAGCTACCAATCACAAGGTTTAATATTGAACGCACTACTCCATACTGGAAAATTATGATCGAGGATTACTCTAATCAACCGCCGTCCTACTTCAAAGATTCCCTCCTGAAACATTTTCCAAAATATACAGGTCAGTATCGTCCCACGAATTAGTAAAATTAGAGGAAAGATTTCGTTTTGTAACAAATACAAAGGTCCAAAAGTCAATCTTCATAAATTTCAATCGTAAATTGTGATACTTATATTTTTGAAATACTTATATTATTAGCAAATAAAAAGCGGGAGAGAAGAAACAAAGATGCAGGGTCGTTTTGTCTGCTTGGCTAGTCAAACATGGGCTAGTTTCATCAAGATGCTTTGGGTTTTTGATTAACCCAAGGAATAGAGACTTTACAAATTAAAGCCCGAAGATTGGCAATTCCCATTGCTGTCATTTATATGTATATGGTTACCATTATTCTGCGTTTCGCAATGTGCCTATGATGTAGCCACCGCCGGGCGGGCCTGTTAGCTCTAGTGTATATCATCTTACGAGAATAGAGGTAATGGTATAGATCACCAGAAGAACGTATGTATAAAAAGTATTTGCCCCAAGGAAGAATCCTAGAATTCCGTCTCTTTTTCTGGGTTTGGAAAAGTGCGGATTTTCAAGAAAGGGAATCTTATGATATGCTGGGAATCTTTTATGATAATCATCCGCGTCTGAAACGTGACAAGTGTGTGTAGTGAAGATCGAATCCGAAGGTTCTTCCTATGTTATCAGCCTGCGTTGCCAATTGAGTCACAATTTATGTCGTTTAACGGTAATTAATTTTTTCTTTCTTTCTATTTTTAGCAAAATCCAATTAAAACTTTCGTAACGAGAAAGAAAAACTTTTTGTTGTAAACATAATTATTTCACTCGAGAAAGAAATACTACCTACTGGTGTAAACATAATTATATATATATACACACACATTAATAAGCATTCTTGATGGAGACATGAATGGAACGGTTGGCCCAGTGGTTCCTGCACTTTCTATGCATGGTGTTGACCGAGGTCATGTTTGGTTCAATCATGCCTAATTATTCCTTGTAATGCATGGTGTGACATCTTTGTCGGGAAGTTATTTTCTTTATGCTAATTATTCAATAAACGGTAATGAAATGTGACGTGATGTAATTAAAATTATTTGTAATATAGCATTACAATAAATATATTTTTAGTTACGTTAAATCACGTTTCAAGTTAAACTTCAACTTTATTATTTGTAATAATTTACACTCTAGAATAAATTTCACCCTAAAATGCTCCAATTTCAAATTTGTGTCAAAATGACAATCTGATTACAAATTTAATCAAAATTGCTATTAAACTATAATAAATGTAAGACTCATCGTAGCTACCCAACTTTTGTCAGCATGCTGTAAACCGCACCGCAAAAGCTTGTTTTAACTCAGGAGTCTGAGTTGGGACGATCTCAAGTCTGACAGACGCAGAAATAGAGTGAATGGTATCTTGATGTGATGGTTTTGTCTTGATTTCAGTTTCCATTCAGGTCAGTCAAAATTTTTAAATTTGCTGCCCAAAATGGGTTGGTTCTGACCGGTTTTTTACCATAAAATTTTTTTTTTCGTTTCCTTTCCCTCTCATTTCATTCTAACCGATTCATTAGTTTTGGGTTGATTAAAGATAGAGTGAAAGACTAGGGGCTCAACCTCGCATTTGAGTCGGCGCATTGGCTCCAAGCTAGCTATAAATTATTACAATACCAGTTTCAAGTTGAGTTCAACATTAACTTAATCTTGCTCTAATTTTGGGTCTGGTTCAAACCCAATCCTTGAACAGGCCTAATCATAGTTCAGAGCCAGTAATAATCTTGTAGTACGTGAAACTAATAAATTATACTATTAATAAAAAACAATATAATCAAGAAAATCCTGCCTCTAAAATGAGATTTTTCGATCTCCCAAGTGATGAAATTAAAGATTTTTCTGTCTTCCGGAATGATAAAATTAAAACCCCGATGAAATTTATTAATTGTATAGATTTTAATCTACTTTTCCTTAACCGAAAAGAACTGGCAAATATATAAGTTTCGTGGTCTAAATTCGATGATAAGGGCGTGGGATAGGTGATCCACTTAGAAATGAATGGAAAAGTGTGGAGCTTGTCCTTATGAAAGGGACCTCATGAGCTCCTCCTCTCACCGTTGCAAAAGTCAGATAACTCACATTCTTCCCCATCTTTTAGCTATAATCCTCGTCTGAGTGAGAGGGATTTTCGTGTCTTGGTCACCACTGTTACATCCAAGTAATTATAAAATGGAAACATAAAACTAAAATTAATAGAACAAAATTTTAGATTGTGAAATTCACCTGTAAAGCAAGACAGGAATGCGCTCTTTGAGTAGCTCTGCAATTAGTGGAATTAGATTCATGTCCAGATTGTCTTCTTGATACACAAATGGCCTGCAAACACCAGCTCAAACTATAATGCTAAATAGACTCTAAATACTATAAAAGCAACTTAATCAAAAGATTAGAGGAAAAAGATTTACCCTTCGCAGATGTCCCAGTGGAAAGGAAGGTGAGTTGTATTGGCATTAAGTGCCTTTTATACTTCAGGCTTGTTAAGATATGTCAGTATCCTCCCTCCAAGACATGGATCACCTTGCTGGGTTACCCTCCTTGCAACCTGTTCAAGGATCTTGAAGAGGTAAGTTAAGGTGATAATGAACTATTACATCTAATTAGTTGGTGTTCTTTCACATTATCTATAAAAATGAAATATGAATAAGCATTAGTTCAACAATAATTTGATTGTTACTAACATTATTAACACAGTTGACAGCTACTAGGACAGCAAACAATTACTAAAATATCTACTTTTACTGAAGAAGACCAATAGATTCATATAGCCGACAATAACTAGCGAATCTGAATAAATTAAAAAACCATAAAAATGGAAAGCAATTAGGGCATATAGTAGCATGTATCTTCCAATGCTTCCCCTTAGGTTTAAATTGCTCCATGGAGGTTGTAGACAAGCAAATAGGAGAAAGGAGATCAACGCGAGCAACATCATCACCAATTTCATCTGCAACTCGATTAAACACATCATTACATCCTTGAGACCGAAGATCATGAACGTATTCGCGAATATTCTTGGAATCATTGCAAACTGTTTTATCCAACATTAATGTTTCATCCGATATGGCTCCATGAGCCCACAAGTAATCCCCAGCTAGAACACTTATGTCCAAGTCTAGAAGTGGATTTCCAAGCTACAAATAAGAATTAATCAAACATAATTAGCAACAAGATTAAGTTAATCCCCAAAAGAAATGTGCTTAATTAGTATTATATTACAGCAATGGCTTTCAGATTGATGGGTTTGATATTTGACTGCTTGTTGTACTCCACTATTCAAGCTGAAAGCTGAGGAATATAGTGGCCTGCAAATATAAGTATTAACATTAAAATTGCCTGTTCCGCAATAGCATTTTGAAGTAACTTTTAGTGCTTTGCTCAAGTCAAAACTCTATCTCTATTAACTCTAGTCTCTGGTAATATGACTTTTATAATAGCTTTTAGAGGTTAACAAAACTTTTTATAAAATCTTAAACCTTTAACTTTAACTTTTATAGTTTAGCATTTAACTTTTAATTATTAATTTTTTTTTTTGACAATCATTTTTTTTTCTCTGAATTTATCTAATTAAACAACTAATATCATTTCTTGTCATTTAAGTAAAATAACTATTTTTACCGAACACTTATAATTTAAACTGTTATATAAACAGTTAACAGCTATTACAATAACTAACAGCTAAGAGAAAAAATATAACTGATATGTAATAGAATTACCAGCATAACTCTCTCCTGCTACAAACAGTTGAGACTCCTTATGCACTGGAAATTCTTCCAACCAATTTACAAGAAACTTCAAATTATCTTCAGCTGTCAAAGATACACCAAAATGGTAGAAATTAATCAACTCATGGAAACAATTAATAGAAAGCTAAGCATATATTAAAAAATAAGAAAATGCATACCAGTTGTCGTGTCATTCGAAAATTCGTAATTTGAGCTCGTGTTCGAGTATGAAAATCCAATTCCAATCGGCGATTCGACAAATAACATATTTGATTCTATTAAATTTCCACGAGAAAATTATCAAATAATGAGCAATTTAAGTGACAAAACACCTTAACTGGCTTGTCAGAAAGTAATTCAAAACCCTACCCAAGTTTCAAGAATATTGATTCTTGATAAGAACTCCATTTTCTCCTGGTTAGAAGGGACCATGTTCCATGAAAGCTCCAAAACCAAGTGAAGAACAACCAGGACCTAATCTCAAAAACAACTAATAATTGCTTCAATATAAATGGTTTTGTTTATATATATATATATATATATATAGAACAAGAAGAAGAAATGAAGTTGACAAGGACATTAACCTCCATTGAGCCACAAGGTCAAGGGAAGTGAAAGTGGATTAGCTGTCTCCGCTTCAACAAAGTAATAAAACAAATCTCTACCCTCTTTCGCATCTGTTACAATGTAACCAGAGTACTGTTTAAAAGAAACATTGCTTGGTTGACGTGGTAAGTTTTTTAGAAGCTCACTACCAGATTTGAGAAAGAAGAGGAGAAAGAGTAACAAGGAAAAGAACCAAATAGCCTTGAGAATTCAATTAACCGCTTGAACACAAAGACATTCTTTTTTGTTTTTTAAAGATAGTTAATTTAAATTTCCATAACTATATTGTTCCTAACGAATTGCATAGTCGTCGTCGTCCCGTTCAATCAAGAAATTATTTTGTAATGTTTCTATTTCTAACGTGAAGTTTATGAAAATCCCAAGAAATTTTGAAAATTCTTTGATTTTATAATATTAAGCATAAACATACAATAGAATAAAATATAACTAAAAATATTACGATATAATGTATGTTCTTTTATCATATATTAACATCATATCTTAAAATCAACTGAAGTTGTTCCGAGTGAAAAAGATTTAGATCCTTTAAGAGGTCGAGTCGTTGAATTCTTATAGATAAAAAAAATCGCTCTGAAAGGTGTTTTTCTCTTTAAGGGCAGCCCAGGAGACTGGAGACACGTTTCGTAGCACCCCAAAAAAACATTACATTTTAGATTTCCATGAAATAAAACAAAAAAGAGCACACAGATTAAAGCACAGCAGACAGAGGTGTATTCCACCTTGTTTCCCATTAGACAATGTCAAACATACCTAACACAAAGTAATCAAATATAGGATTTGCATTAAAGTTTCCAAATTTCCAATGCTATTACTTTAATTATTTAACAAAATTTCTTACCTTAAACATTCCGAAAACGGGTTGTAGCCTGCATGTGTTTTGTCTGCCCCTAAAAGTACCCAGCAAGAAATTGCACACTGAAGCTGTCTCAGGTAGTACTACTACTATCATAGGTTGTTGCTTAAAGAACGGAAAATAAAAGAAAGAAAGCAACAGCAGAAGACAAAATGTTTACTTCTATATTGGTTGTTTGGTTGGAGGGATGGGAATTGGGAAGAAAGGAAAGCATTTGGTAGGAAGTAAATAATTTTATCTAAAAAAGTTTAATTTATTTGATTTATTCTGCACTAAACCAACTGAATACTCTGTTTGAGGACGATGAAACAATCTTTCTTTCTGACCTTCAATTTTGAAAAATGAAAAGTCGTTCTTAATTTTCTTTTGAGAATAATGCTCAATTTGGTCACATATGATTTATCTGATAATCAATTTTTATATTGATTTAATAGGAAATTTCAACAACTATTTTTAAGTTTTTTTAACAGTTGAGAGTTACTGATCAAATTGATCTAAAAACCCATATCAATAATTTTTTTGTTTTAGTATCAAAAATAAAATAATATCATGAGTCAATTTTTACACATGACGTACATGAACCCTAAATTTATCCCTTTGATTTGATCAGCCAACCCAAAAATCAAATTCCCTCATGAATTCACCCCACATATCGTTTATCCAAATCATAATTCCGATCAAATCAAACGATTTTTTTTTAAAGTTCCTTCAATTTGAAAAGATCAAAACTCGTGGGCCATAGGGGAAAGAACAAGAGTATCTCTTTCCTTTTCAATCATTTCCACCCAACCAAACAAGGGAAACTTCACTTTCTTTCATCACATGTGCAACATTTTCCATCCTTTCACTTTTCCTCCATAACAAAATATATGATTAACATGTCACTCAACAACAGAGAAAATCTGAGGATGGGAATGGCAGAGAGTGGCGTAGAGATAAAAGATGATAGCGAAAACCAAAGTAAAAGTGCCCCTTTAACATTTTCTCATTTAACTGTCAGCCTCTCTATCCTGTGCACCTACAAACACTTTTGTCCTTTTTTCTTAACCTTTTATGTACATAAACTGTTGAGTGAAAAAGAAAAAAGAGCACTAAGTGCTTCATATCCCATTAGAATTCATAACCCATCAGGGAAAAGAAAAAAGGAAATGACAAAAACAAAATAGTAAAAAATAGGACAAAAGCTCTAACTGTAGTCTGCTATACTGAACTGGCAGCAGCAAATGGTAAGAGATGTACTCGAGGAAAATGTAGAAGATCGATTTGGTTCAGATCTCAATTTTTGGGCCTCTGTACAATTCTCCAACGACAACAAATTCCTCAGGTAGCCTCCCTCTATCTTGAAGCCATGCATAATTTTCTCTTTCCTCGTCTGGCACAGAGACCCCATCAACTTCATTTTCAAACAAAAAATAAATGAGTTCTCAAGCATGAATGATCAAAGATTTTTTTGGGTTTATTCCTATTTTTGGTCTCCAATTGTTATCCATGATCTAGTCAGTCACTAACGGTCCAGCCCCATCTGGAGAAGGCACTTCTTATGAAACATTTGTTTTGACGACTATGATCTTTTTTTATATAATTAGAAAACAAAACCAAAAACTAAAATCACCATTGGTACCAAACATGCCCTTGAGCCATATGATACCTGAGAAATTGGCAAATGGGAAGTCGTAATAGTACGTGCAGTGTCGACCATCAGGATCTGAATATGGGGGACCGAGCACGTCTAGCACCGCGCATGCTGTAACTGCTGTGAAACAATGCATGTTGCCTCCATCACTAGGGTAAAGGATTCGGGTATCGCAAGGTGCAGTGAAGTTAGAGTTAACCTTGACCTTAGCCAGTTGAATTGGAGGTTGCTGGATTTCAGGCTGCTGGATGTTAGGTCGGTTCACATCGGGTTGCTGGATCTCAGGCTGCATTGCTGCATAACGATAATAAAAACCAAGATCTTGAGGATAATTTCACTTTCAAGAAGAAAAGCAAGTACTAAAAATCTCATCTCCATTTGGCTAATAATAACAATGGTCAATGTCTGCCTTGTAAAGCATGAGATCAGACTTATACCCTAATAGCTCTATTTTCTTTTAAGAATTTCCAATTTACCAGGGGCAAAAAAAAAATTCTATTCTCTTGCTTTCTCCTGGAGTTCCAGATATACACTGAATTATGAAGAAATTTATACTTATAGCTACCAAGTATGCAGAAATATAGACAACTCAGCATTAGTTCATTTTGTCCTTAAAATTACAGTCTCATATTTTTTTTTTTTAATTGACCCAATGCATTAAGCATTCAACATTTGGGGGCTTTGAGGATCGAAATTTATGTTGACATTTGTACCAGCTTCTGTTCATTTAAAAGTCTATGCTTGTTGAGATATTGTTTAGAATTATTTTAGGTTAAAAGTTCAACTTAAACAGCATACCATAATCAGTATAAAATAAAGAAACACTTACCTTCAGAATAAGTCACCACGCCAGAACCATTGGAAGGGCCATTAACCACCCAATCATATGATTTGATGTGCATCTCTCCAAACAGTACCTTGCTAAAAACAGTCATTCCAGGATGATTATGAAGGGGAATAACTCCAGATGGACGGAGGCAGAAGATACCCATCTGTAATAACAATAAAAAAAATTACAAAACCCAAAACAAAACATAATTTCCCAAGACAAACAGTTCTGTTTATAGATCACCTCAAAAACCTACATACCGAGAATTTGTCACATTCATGAAGATGCAGGTATCTTATTGCAGGGGTTCTCCCAGCAGCAGGAGTACGAAAATATGGCATTTCTGGACTCAAACCAACATCCTCCGGTTTGATGTCATCTAGAGAAAAGGAACCAGTCAGTACCAGAAAATTACAATGCAAGTAAGAAAACAAGAATAAGACAATAAATATTAAGATTGTTGAAACTGCGGCCAAGAAGAGATTTTTATTTATTTTTTATTGTGTTTGTGTACTTCAATGTCTATTAAGCTAATTTTTCTAGACAATGCCAAATAAAGCAACTTAAAAAAAAAAAAAAACGAATAACTAATTCCAAACATATTTCATCATATGGAAAAATAGATAGACAATGGCAAATTGCTCTTGAAATAAAATGTGATGAATCACAAAAGAAATCAAAGGCAGAAGTATCAAGGAAACAATATATGTCGATACAAGTACAAAATGAAGCTGTAAAGTACTAGCATAGTGAACTTATGGTACCAATTGATCCCTTTTTTATTCAATAGCTTGAGCTCAAAACCAAGCATAAAAAAAATACAAAAATGTACCTTAATAAGACAAGGGGGAAAAACAATGGTATCGACATTGCCACATTCCCAGACAGAAAAACATGATTATAGAAGTAAACACAAAGAACATAAAAATAAAAAAATAAAAAGAAAGAAAGAAAAGAAAAGAAGCTGCCAGCTCACTCTACCAAAATGCAAATAATGTGCTAGAGGATTGAAAGGCTCCACAGGAAGATTAAAAACATTGCAAGAAAAAAAAATGGCAATTAGAAACCATTGACATGTAAAGGTATTAACTAACGCCTAATAGCCTTAAAAATCTTAACTTTTTAATGGCAAATTTGAGATGTAAAATTTAACTCTATAAAAAGCAACAATGTTAATGTTGACATATATAATACCCAACTAATAACTAACTAAAAAATCACCTTCCTTTATAGTATTACAACTTGCGTAATCCGATTGCCAGAAAAACTAATACTGAAATGCATTTGAAGAAATCACATTGTTAATACTAAAGAAAAAAAAAAACAATTTAATACACTCTACCAACCTCACAAAACCACCAAGCAAAACCCAGACAGAAATTTTTCACGTACCCAAAACTGCTTTTAGCTTTTCGATTTTATCAGGAGGAGGAACAATTCCAGGGCCACCAAAGGTAAAAACTTCCTTGCAAGTATCATAAAGCTTTTGGACCGGGGAAACCATCACCGTTTTCTTTTGTTGCTGGCGTCGCCGGATCTTTTTGCCTCCACGGCTATTTGTATTGGCTTTTGGTTTTGGAGATGGGTCCAAAATTGGATTCTTTTCCTTCTCCAGTTCACAAAATTCTTCTTTTTCCTTCTTTTTGGCCACGCTCGTCTCAATCCCCATTCAGCCAACCAATCCTCAAAATTACAACCAAAATCGCAAAACAATATATGGGTATTCTCGCAAATGTAATAACTATGCTTAAAAGGGACCGGGTATGGCTCAAATTCTCAAAATTTTAAATCAATAAAAAGATGGGAGTTGTAGAAAATGCCCAAAAAACAGAGGAGGGCATATGTAGAGGTATTATATCTATAAGTATTTATATGTCTATAATACAGTATTTAAGTATTTGTATTCCTTTTTGTGTTCAGGATGGACAAATACATGAAGAGACGGAGAGATAAAAAGAGGAAGACAGAGATGGTGATGATGTGAAAAGAAGCATCTCTGTTTTTGCTGTTGACGATTGAGAAGACGATGATGATGATGGAAGATAGGGGATTGAAGAGAGAGTTTGGGTGTAAATGGTAGGAGACAATTGGAGGTTTCTAGGCTTATAGCTGAAAGGGAAATACAGATGGTTTCTTTGGGAGAGTGAAAACCAGGGGCCATTGCTTATCTTTCCTATGGGCTGTTCCAAATACCAGGAGGATTTTTATCCCGAGTCTTCCCCCGTTTTTTGTGTTTCTAATTTTGCCCCTCATTTCTTTTTTTATTTTTCACACACAAAATATATAATACTCCACTATGCAACAATTTATTTTTCTTATATTTTTGTTTTCTATTTAATTATCATCTTAATTGTGGTTTGGAAATATTTGGTAACTCCAATATTTGTAAATGTGACCCCAACATAGAGTATAAAAAATAAAAATAAAATTCAATCTGCGGCTAATCCATTTAGTTTTTTTTTTTTTTTTAATAAGATCTAATTAGTCTTGCCTTTAATGTGAATCAAAGAATAACATGAGCATATATTTTATCTCGTACGTGGATGCACACATTAAAAAATTTAGCCCATGATCATTTATATATTGAATTTATTTTTATTTCAAAAGCTTTTTATTGGTCAAACTTTTTATGATAATTTATAGCCCTAAACCCCTTGTTATACTCATATTTGAATAAAGCAAATTATCATAATACTAAATGATAGTAGATAGTGATAAAATTGATATTTTTTGAAAGGATAATGATAAAATTGATATGAAGATAAATAAATTATTGTACGTTACTTGTTTATAGTATAATGATAATAGGTAGAATGACATTAACTATTCACTAGCTTTGGAGTGAGGGTTATATGAAGGAAAAATATAGTTGTCGCCAAGAGTTATCCAAGTGAGATAATAGGAGAAAAGATCTCCCAATATCCAGGTATATTTGGCTAATTATAGATTATACCTAGTTATATTGCTAACAGATCTCTAATTTATTGAAGATCGATTACTGATTAAATGATCGTCTATCCAATGTTTGGGTATTTATGTCCAACTCCGAGTGAACTAAAGAGACAAGCCACAAAGTTATTCTCCCTGTTCTCGAGCAGGACACAATTCAAGCCCAAGTGGATATCACAAGACTCATAGGCAAGTCTAGGCATGGCCGGTTCAGTGAACCGCCGGTTCGAAATATTTAAAATTTTAAACCGGAACCGACCCTTAAACCTCTGGTTTCGGCATAGTTTAACACGGTTCCGGTGAACCGACGGTTCAAATTACGGTTCCGATTCAGTTTCGGCATTACGCAAATTTTTAAAAAAAATAATAAAATTTTGATTCCGAATAGCGGTTTCCGGTGAACCGACGGTTCAAATTACGGTTCCGATTCCAGTTTCGGCATTACGCAAATTGTTTAAAAAATAATAAAATTTTGAATTCGCGAATTCATGAATAAATAAATAATTTTTAAAAATGTTTTAAATTTTATTAAGTAAATGAATTATTATAAATTTAAAAGAAAAACTTCTATTAACCTAACTTTAGAAACTATTATTACATTAAATTTACAATTTTTGCTAATTTACTAAGTATAAAAAAACTATAAAATGGAATAGTAAAAATTCAATGGAAATGGAAGTTGGAAATTATTATTTTCAAATAACTAAAGAAAATTATTTTAAAAAATCAAATGAGTAAAAATTTATGAATGGAAAAATTTTTAAGAATTAGAGAAAGAATTTGAATTGGGATGTAAGAAAATAAAAAATACAATAGATAATTCCAATATTAACGAACATAAAGCAATAGAAAAAATAATGAACTAATGGAAATTTTTGAGAGAAATTTTGATGAGGAATAAGAAAAGAAATTAGGATAGTAATGATTGTGAAATAAAAAATCATGCAACTCATCATATTTATACATGTTTGCCCTCCAATTTATTTAAGTTTTTCCAAATTGTCCCTTATAATAGAAAAATAACAGTTATATTTTTTTGGATTTAATTTAGTAAAAATAATTTAGTAAATTACAGTAAATAAATAAATAAATGATTAAAAATGAATAAAATTTATTTACCAAAAAATAAATAAAAAACACATATCATATTAAAAACTATCCGTTACACTCTTTTTTTGTACACTTGAAAGTATTTTTTTATATAAATCAACTATTCATGTACCATTTTTTATACAAATTAAGTTAAAAATGTGTATTTTTTTTCATAACTTTTTATAACTTATGTACCATTTTACTTCTTTTCACCATAAATCATCACCATAAATCAAATCAAGTGATATAAATTTTTTTATAAAAATTTTAAGCTACAATTTTTTGTGCATCCGGTTCGAACCGGACTGGAACCGCCGGTTAACTGCCGATTTCAGTTCAAAATTATGAACCGCCGGTTTTGGTCCGATTCCGATTCGTCTACAGTACGGTTCGGTTCCAGTTCGATTCCGGTTATAACCAAACCGGTGGCCATGCCTAGGCAAGTCCATCTCAGAGCGTTGATGGCGGTTCGTCTGGAAGGGTGGTAATGCTAGCCAATCAAAAGTGTTGCATTTAAAATTTAAAAATTTATTAACTATCATGTCGCTCCAGTTACCTTGTTGTGCCTACAAAATGTTAGCCGCCTTTGTTGAAAAAAAAAAAAAAGGTTTTGCTCAATCCCACATCGGG